TATAATTTCTTTTCCTTTCCCTCTTCTCCCTCTTCTTCTCCCTTCCCTTTTTGACCCCTTCTCTCTAATTCTGATTCTCTCTTCTGTAATCCTCTCTTCTGTTTCTTCCTAATGTTATAATTACTTTTCAAACTATTCTTTTTTGGGTTGTTTTTTCGGATCTTAATTTTTTCACTCTCTTTCCCCCCTTTCCTTTCTTTTCCTCACATAGAAATACTTGGTCATTAAAGATGGCTTCTTCTTGTCCCGCCCTTCTTGTTCTACAGGTATTTCTTCTTGTTTCTCATAGTTCAGGATCTCCATTTCTAAAAATTGAAATACGAAGCCAAAAGAACATCTTCCTTCTTGTGCATCTTCTTTCTGTTTTTTAAGTTCCATTCTCAATTCTTCCAAGAGTGATACCATTTTAAAAACTTTTAAACAACCACCCGATTAATTTTAGTCCTTTAGATCCAATAGCCAAAAATCACCAAGTAATCCAAATAATCCAAAGCTGTTTCTTCTTGCTTCTTTTTTCCACTTTCTCTTCCTGGGGTTCTCTTGTTACAAAGTTTCAGTTAAAATGTATCTTTTAGGAATCTTGTTAAAGTTTCACTGTTAATTCCTTTCACTTCCAGGTGGTCTCCTCCCTTTTTCCAGATCCCACCCTTTTGTTTTTTTCCTTCTTTTAAAAGTTTTTGAGAATCCAGAAATCTTTATTATCCCTTTGACATTTTATTTTCAGCTTAAATACCTGTTACTGTCAAAGTGGATTTTTGCCAATTTCTTGCTTAAATCTCTTAGTTGTCAATATAGGGAAGAAAAGAAAAAAACACCAAATCCTTTCCCTTCCCTCTCTCATTCGCAGCTTCAAAGACTTCTTTGGGAACAGTGTTGTTCTTTATAATTCAAATTCCAGGGTACCTTATATTATTGTTTTTCCAGTTAGACCCAGTCAGCCAAAAACTTTCTCTTCTTATCTTCCTCCTGCACATTCTCTTCCGGTCGAGTTCTTTGAGGTGGCCATTTCTGACCACCACAGCAACCGCCTTTGGGAAAGGGAGTAATGGCCAGCTGTGGAGGAGAGATGAGGTTCTCCTCGACCCTGCTGGCAGTCTACCCCCCCTCTTCACCACCTCTACGGGGTGGCTTAGCCCTGAAACCAGCCGGCTCGGGGCGCTCCAGTGGCGAGCACAGATCGAAACTGCGCACAATCGCAGATTTCGGTCTGTCGCCAAAGAAGCTCAAACCGGATCTCCTTTTCTGGCCTAATAATTGTTCATCTCCTTTAAACAGCGAATCATCCATCGATTTCTTTATACTTCCATATTCTCTTTGTCTTATTTAAATACATATTTAAATTAATTTCAGGTTTATCCATTGTAGTTTGTTCTTCAGCAACTTCATTGCTACATAACCCATCATATCAAATAATTTTAAAGATCAAAATTCCAAAATGCCCAGTAAAGATTTTTGCTCCGTTTTTGATGAAATAATTTATTATTCTCTGGCCCCTTAGAACTTTTCTAAGTTTGTTTCTCTAAGCATTAAGCCATTGGGAGAGTCCTGACCTTCTTGACTGCTGTTTCCTAAGCAGCTTCTTTTCCTGATGTTCCCTAAGGTTATCTGCATAGTCCATTACAGAAATCATTGGGTCCAAAGATGCCCTTTTGAAGTGGCACATCATCACATCTTTCAAGGCAAGAAGGACCATCCTTCCCTTCTGGGCCTAGTCATGGATCACTCTTGGCTCCTTCTAGGATCCAAGGGAAGGCCTCAATCTGGTAAACAGAGGCCGAGCTGATAGCACAGAGAATCTTGTCCACTTTCTCTGGAGTCACTCAGCCTTCTCTGCCCATTCATGGTCCAAGTTGAAGTCAATCTGAGTGGCTTTATTCATCAGATAATCTATTAGATGTTCAGAGGGCCCCCCTATTCAATAACAATAGAGTTACTCTAAACCAGTGGTTCCCAAACTTTTTCAGTCCACCGCCCTCTTGGTGTTACAAACTCGTCCTCAGTGCCCCCCACCCAGGGTGGGATTCAAATTTCTTAACTGGTTCTGTGGGCATGGCCTAATTTGTGGGTGTGGCTTGGTGGTGATATGACTGGCTGGGGGTGGCTTGCTAGCTGGGCGTTGCTTGATGGTCATGTGACTGAATGGGCGTGGTTTGGTGGTCATGTGACTGGGTGGATGTGGCCATGTGACTAGCAAACCAAATATAAGTGGTCCTCGCTTAATGGCCGGTTGCTTAGTAAGTGTTCTAATTTATGACTGACCTCCCCAGAGCTACTTGCTTGTTTTTGGAGTTTTGACAGCCATGCACATGCGCGCGCGCACACACACACACACACCCTTCTAACCCCTTCTGGAGCAGGTGGTTGGACTAAATATCTCATCCACTTTCTGCTTCTTTCTTTCTTTCTTTCTTTCTTTCTTTCTTTCTTTCTTTCTTTC